CAAACCCAATACTTAATCCCTAAGCACCTAAAAAGTGTTTGTAAAAAGAAAAAAAAACTAAACAAACTCAGTTCGTCAATAATGTAAGAACACTGAAGTGTTGTGACGAACAAAATAAACAGAATAAAAATCTCTCAAACACTCAACTGAGTCTTGATTAATGATGAACAATGTGCAGCAGCTCTCTCTTCAATTGATTGCTTGAGTATGCTTACATACAATCTCCTTAAGGTAAGGAGTCTCACACAGTTCTTCATTTTCCTTTTAGAAGTCAATTTCCTTCTCAATTGATTCCTTTCTGATTTGGACGAAATCTTTCATGTAAAGTAAGTTTTCTTGATGTAGAATTCGTATGTTATTTGGAGTAAGGACCGAGCTAGTGCTCAAAAAGGAAGAGTAGTCTTATTCCATGACCCTTTCATCTTGCATCAGGACACAGCCGAGCCCAGAGAGGCATCACTATAGACAACATATCTGGTCAAATACAAGATGTTTACTTTATAAGTACTTGGTCATTCAAGTAAAGATCTTACGGGAAATATTTTTACCTTTCGGTCTTAGTTAAGTAAAGAGGATTAAAGTAGCTCGCACTGAGAAAAAGTAAAGAGAATTCTGGTTGCGGGAAAAATTCTATAACATCAATCTCCCTTAGTTGATGGGTTCCATTCTATCTTTTATCAAACTCACTGAGAGCTCCTAAAACCATATTTGCTTACAGTTTGTCTTAATATACTCAATCATGGTGGTTCCCACGAGGGCTTTAATGATACAATTATTGTCTTGATTCCGAAGAAGAAAAAACCAGATGTGATCATAGATTTTCGGCCCATTTTCGTCAATTGATTTGGCAATGTATATCGACTGTGAAGTTTTTGTTTCATTTAAATGACTTTTAAACAGTATGCATCGTCATTAATGACTGCATATGGAGGAGAGTTGAAAGCGGAAGAACGAACGAAGCGAAGTTCAGGAAAAGACCAAACAAACGAAGCGAAGTTCAGAAAAGGTTGGAGAAAAAAGCGAAGTGAATCCGATCTTTATAATTGAGCTTCTAATGGAAATCTTGCGTTCCCAGAATCGTGTAAGAACACGACTTTCCAAAAATAGTCGATCTTCCAAATCTTCAAAGATCTTGTGGTGAATCTTTCCAAATCCTCCTTAGATCTTCCCATGAACGTCCAGAACTCTTTATGCACGAATTGTTCATCCTTTCATAGTTCTTGCCACTTATTCCTCGTCCTACAAGAAAGAGAAAACTAATTATGGCATGTGGTATATATGGCAAGTAAATATATAAGATATATATTATGTAATCCTCCTCCTTATGGATTAGGATTCCATAATACATATTATAATAAATATATACCATACATTATTAATAAAATATTAGGAACTTAAATAATTCACAAGTAAATAAATAGAAAAGTCCCTTTTATTTATTTTGGTTGCTTAACAAGAAATCTTCTAGAAAACACTACGGTTTGTCGGACGATTCCAAACCAATATTCTTAAAGGATTAATACCATAATAATATTATCACAAAACATAACTAAGTGGTATGTAGCTAAAGCAGCAAAGCTTCAAACCAATAACATGATACTGGACAGAAGATACGTGTAGCCACTGAACCTCAAGGACGAAAGATATTACTGCACGGGAGCACTCAATTTACGAGGTGCAAGGAAGATTTTCTAATATTTCGATTTCATAACATACTTAATTTTTTTTTAATTTTAAGTGTAGTGAAAATTTTATAAATTGTACAGTCTGAGGTGAATATGTAGACCAACTCTTGATTTTCTCGAGAGCCATAATGAAAAAACTAGTCTACCATGAGTATTAATCATCTAACGTGTGCGTGCAAAAGAATACTAACGTATGTACATAAAATTAACTACTCATGATGTTGATGTTGACTTGTGTTTTTAAGTTGCTGTCACACTATTTTCAATATTTAAGCCATGTTGTTTTGTTTTTGGATATATTTTAGAATCACATTTTTTTTCTATATAATAAAATATTAAATATTAAATAATTAATATATAGTTTTTAATTAATTATATGTATAATAACTTTATTTTGAAGTTGTTGTTAATATAATGATGAAACCATGTTGTTTGTTTTTTTTAATAAATTTTGCCACGTTTGTTTTTTCAATATAATATTTTTTATGTTACCCACATCTTTAGTAATTATATTCATGTTGACTTGTGTTGTTAATTTGTCGTCATGCTTCATTTAATTGTGGATACCATGCTTTTTTTTCTTTGGATTTAATTTGTGACATTTTTTTTTCAATATAATAAAATTAAATTCATAAATATTTTTTTATAATGAAGTTCTTTATATTTGTAGAAAAGTGCAAGTTGCAATTTCATTAAATGTTATCAAGTTGATTGCACATGACTCTGTCGAAGAGATTTGCGACTTCTGAAAAGGTCAAATTTAAAAGTCTTTTCATTATTTTTGTAATTTATATTTTGAATTTATACATTTTTTTTTAAAAAAAAAATCAATTAATAGATACACAACAAGCAATATGAAGTTGACAAAATACAGTTCCAAGTCAAAAACTGTTGTGAAGACCTAACTAGAAGAGTTGCAATCTGGCAAGATTAAAGTTTTTTCGGTAGATACTTTGTAATGAAAATAAAGAGGTATATTTGTTTTATTATTGAATATTAAAATAAGATTTTCAAATTCTTATTTGTAATTCTTAATTCTTACTATTTTTCTAAGGCAACAACCATTTGGTTTTGTACTTTGGTTGACTCTATTGTGGACAAATTGGTGGTATTTTGCTTGCCGAAGTTGCAATAACAAAATGAATAACTCAGACAACGACTTCGTGTGTAGCAAATACTCGAAAAATGTTGGAAAGTTTATGTATACAAGGATTTTTCACTAGTTACTTTGTCATAATTGATAAATTTTTCATGCTATTTTTTTAATAGATACAAGATGAATTTGCTCATCTCGGATTCTACTGCAAATGCCACTATTGTTCTTTGGGACAAAGAATAAGAGATCGTAATTGGAAAATCATGTCATGCTTTTACGACAACATGTTTAATAATTTATAAATATTTATGTAGCATTTATTAATCTTCATGTAAGTAAAATAATATGTTATTATATTTTTATTAATGTATAGTAAATATAAGGTTTTTAGAATCGGACTCTCATCGAAACAGTCAAAATTATTTTATTATATCATTTGTGGTTTGTTCAGATTTTAATTTATAAACATTTTAATATTTTGTAAGTACTTAAATACCTAAACAATTTATAAATTCAAATGTTTAAATTAATTGATAAAAATTATAAATCTCTATTTTATTTAAATATGTAATTTTATTTAAAATAATTTTAAATATAGCAAATTCTATTTAGAAAATCGTATCGATCCTACCAGTCCAATCGAAAGGATTTGATAGCAAATATTTTATTCAAGCGAAGTAGACTGTTTATAAACCAGTTCTCGATCCATTTCGGTGCATCGCACGGGCCACACACTAGTATATATTTAAAGAGACAACATATTTACTAAAAATAGTAACAAGAAAAGTTAACCACCATTTATTGCATTCTATTTTTGGTAGTTTTTATTTTTCCTTAAATTATTCCTAAAAAATCAACCAGCTATATATGCACCCTAAATTCATGGGTTTTGTAGATTTAATTAAGATAAATTTCGACTGATGGTTACAATTTTGTAAAATTTAAAATTCTTTCTCATTTTTTATTTAAAAAATAAAACTGATTACCATAAAATCGGAAATTTTGAATTAGACAAAATATTATCACATATATCTTTACTAAATGCAACAAGTTAATTGTTTATTAAAAAAAATCGAATTGCATAAAAATCGGGTTAAATTATGCAAAATTTGGCATGACAATATTGTAAAAGTGAAAATTCTCTCATTTTTATTTAAAAAAAATATATGTTTACCATAAAATCAGAAATTTCGAATTGGGAAAAATTCTATAACATGTATGTTTACCCAATTACAACATATTATGTTTATTAAAAAAAGATCACATAGAAATCAGACCCAATTTCAAATTGAAAATTAAAATTTAAATATCCCTTATCATTTCGCTATTACATTCTTTAGTTGGATTTTTTTAAACATAAAATAGTGTCAGATAACATTAACTTTTGATCCAAAATTAAATCGGATTGCAACATCCTAAAAAATTGGGTTTTGTTTAATCCTTTAGAATAAAAATTTGAACTTGATTATAAATCCCATACCGGTTCGAAAGTAGAGAAATGTTATGGTAAAATTGATTATATACACTTACAAAATAAATAATGATTGCATACACTTAAAAAATATCATATATATCCTGTTAAAGAATTAATTGATTTATTTAAGTTTATCTCGAATCCTAATATCATTTGTGATGATAGACGATGTATCAAAGACAAAACAAATAATGTTGTGTACAAGGATATGTTTAATAATATATAAGTTATATTTTGTTCATTCCAATATATGTGTTTTATCGTTCTTCCAACCATCAAAATCTAAATATTTATCTTAATAACACAGCTCGTACATGACACGGGTACCGCACTAGTTAACCGACAATAAAAGGGGCCGTATTTTGTAATCCACATAAAGAAACGAAATAACAATAAAAATAATTAAGAATATGAAAAGACAGCACAAAAAGTGCACCCAAAAAATCACACACGTTTAGTGTGAAAATATATAAAAGCCAGTGTGAGTGAAAAAGCACTACAAATAGAACACGTTTTTTTTTTTTCTTCCCTCTCTCTAAAACCACCAAACCCCTTCAGATCACATCAAACCACCTCTCTTTTCTCGCGCTCTCTGCTATAATCATACAAAAATTGCGTGTTTTCTTTTGTAATATCAAACCCATCTGTGAATATATTTAAATATTTGTAAATTATTTGTATTGGATACGTTTGTGCTCTGGTATAATCTATCTGTAGAGAGAGCGCGAGTGTTTGCGTGTAATATATGGACAGGTACAGTGGGAGCCAGGCAATGGAGTCGGTGCCGGTGGATCCGGTGGCAGAATGGGCAGCGCCTGGTGGAGAAACTGGGCTTGAAGGCTAGTTGCATTTGAATGTCATACGAATTTCATTTGAATTTTGGGTCGAAATTTACTAATTTGAGCATGAGTCTGTGCAATGTTGATTCATTATAGGTATGATTTATGCATTTGCAGAGCCTATGTGGGAATTAAGTCTCGGAGGCGGGCCTGAATCGTACCCCGAGAGGCCTAGTGAGCCCGATTGTATCTATTACCTGAGGACTGGGTTCTGTGGGTACGGAAATCGGTGCCGTTTCAATCATCCACGAGACCGGAGCATGGTAACAGTCTTCAACTTTTCGACCTGTAGAGTAAAATACTGAGGTTTTAATACGATGTGATCATGGGTGAAAGATTGAACTGTAGGCCGGTTTTGTGTAAATTTGATACTAATTTAGGCAAAGTTGAAATTTTTTGTACAGGAGGGGTGTTGTTTCTTTTTCTTTTTCTCCCCTCAAGTATTAGAAGTGAAAAAGATTTGGGGGAGAAGCATGCATTGAGTGTTGGGATAGTGGTCTTCATTTGGATTTGGTAGTAATTTGGTGATAACCAGTCTATTTTCGTGGTTTTCGTGTAAAAAATGCAGATACATCAGCAAAAGTACTTACATTTTGGATGGCCAGATATATATGTTGCACATGCATTGAATCAATTTAGTAGATTTTTAAAATTCACGATTGTTATCCCTGTAATTATGGTCTCGCTGTTATTCTGGCAAGGTTTGTAATTGTCTATTATATCAATTTGGACAATGTTAACCTAATATATTTGTGTGATTTAAGGCAATGGGAGCCTTTGGAGCTGGCGGGGGAGAGTATCCGGAACGTGTAGGCCAACCCGTCTGTCAGGTACTCAATTGCTTTTAAATTGTTTGACTCCAAAATTGGTGGTCTTACCAAAAACAACTTCATTACATAATTTTTCAACCTCAGTTTGGTGTTACGTGAAATAACTGAACTATATTTGGTAGTAATCTATGTACTTCGCATTGCTCTTTTTCACTTAATATTTTCCGTAAAAATATGTGTTATGTATAATTATCTCATCCTCTTGTTGGATGTTCAAGGGTGTGTGCTTATGTCGATTGTTATTCATCAGCTAGAAATACTTGTTTATGTAAATTGGTCCTCGATGGTTTTTTATTATGCCCAGCCAATTTGTGTGCGACTCTTGTGCTAAATTTCAAGAATCTGTGTCAGCCACAGTTATGATTTTGGAAGTTTTTTGAAAGGTCGGCTTATAGCTCTCTGAAACTATAGATCTTAACTTTCATCTCTATCTGTCATGTCTAAGGATCTTCAATTGAATCACAAGGTCAAAGTCTTGATATTAGCTACAGTTGATCTACGAGGTTACACTCTGTAAGAGATCCACCTGATTAATATTCTCTATTAGAACCTAGAAGCATGCCAATGTTTGATCTGTGGGCTTAGATTCTTTATTTGGCAGTCATTTTCTGGATCATGCTCCTTCAGTAGTTAGTCTGTTTCCAATCTGTGTTAGGGAGATTTAGTGTTTGTATATTGATGGATGCTTCATCTGTTTCTGTATGACTTCTTCTATCTCTTCATAACTGCAATCTTATAAGACGCCATTTGTGTATCAGGAAGAAGCAGAATATCCTTATTTAGGTTATATCTGGATGTATCATCTACTAACCATGGGTTCAGCATTTTCTTTCTTTTTTTACAGTACGTTGAAACTCGTATATTAAAGCATAAGTTTGATCTTTCACCCGTGTTTCACCTTGGATATAACTTTAGGTAGTTTAAATTCTTTTAAGGTATCTCACTAGTGAGTATTGAACAATACGCCAGACATAGGGTGTGCAGATTGCTGTTTTCTCACATTTTTCATCTTCATGTTATCCTGCTATACGAGAGCAGAAAGCTTCTTGGTTTCTTCCTTATAATCTTTTCCTCAACTTCTTTTTCTTCTTCGTATGTTTTTTTTTTTTTTTTTTTTTGTTGGTTTTGCTTCCCTCTCTGGGTGTATACTGGGATCTTATGGCATTGTTCTTGGAATCATTGTTCTCTGCTACCTTTGACTCCTACTTTTTATTATTAATTTTTGCAATTTTTGCAACTGATTGATACCCAACCACGAAAAGATGAATCATTGATGTACTGGTTTAACATTTGTCAGCTAGTGGTTATATTTGGATGGGAGATTTCTCATGTATACCTTTCTCGCTTATTACTACAAGAGATGAAGGTCTTGCTCAGTTTGTTACACTGTATGATTGACAGTGTATTATAATTCTATAAAATGAATCTGTCATCAGTGGTCTAGGTCCATTCTTTTTCCTCTTGTTTATCCTATGGCCCGTACCAGCTGGAATTTAAGCAAACCTGATACCATTGGAACGATTATTTTATGTCAGATTGCCATTTGCTTCAAATATGAAAAGGAATTTTGCATGACGAGCATGGACATTTTTGTTACAGTTGTTATACCTTCATTTTTCCATTAATCTTTATTGCATTGTACATGTTTACACTTTAAGGATCAAATTATTCTCTTATTTGATCAAGATGTTGGCTCTTTTCTTTTTCTAAAAAAAAAAAAATATTGTTCAATATGTTGAGTCGCCATCTATCTTAATTAAATAGGATACATGTTTTCTCCATGACAATTCTCTTAACAGAATAAAATAGCAGTTCTGCCCTTCTTTATTGAATTCATGCTATTTGTCCTGGATTTGCAGTACTACATGCGGACAGGAACATGCAAATTTGGTGTTACCTGCAAGTACAACCATCCCAAGCATGGAATTGAGTTTTCAGGCCAAGTGACTTTGAACATTTATGGATATCCCTTGCGGCCTGTCAGTTCCTTCGAATATTTTTTCTACTTATATTTTCTTTAGAAACATTAATTTTCCCATTTCAAATAATATCGCCTCATAGTGTCTTTTTTGCAGGGAGAAAAAGAATGCTCATATTATGTAAAGACGGGGCAGTGCAAGTTTGGTCTCACCTGTAAATTTCATCATCCCCAACCTGCAGGAGTATCAGTGCCAGTGCCAGTGCTAGCCCCTGGTGCTCCACCTTTGGCTGCTCCTGTTCCTACACCATCCGTTTATCCAAGTGGGCCCTCTCCGTCTGTTCAATCTTCACAACAATATGGGGTTATTCAAAGCATTTGGCCAGTTGCAAGGCCTGCCATGCTTCCTGGTTCATATGTTCCTGGAAGTTATGGTCCATTGCCACTCCCCCCTGGCGTTGTTCCCCTTCCAGGCTGGAATCCTTATACGGTAAGAATATTTGATGCTGTTGTTTTTCGAGAAAGCTGCAAGATTTGTTTCACAAGGTTGACCAAGTTGTAAATAAGATCCCATTTTGGCTAGTGCCGGGACTTTGTTTGCAAGAAATCAACGCTAGGGAACCAATTTCACATAATTTGCAAGTCGGTCAATCCTATGGACCAATTTTGCTATTTTCTTTCTTTCTGACTTTCTTTCTTTCCTTTTTATTTTCTGTTGCCCATATGGAGAGTGTTTGTTTGATCGGATGGTTATTTGAGATTTCATTATTTTGTGCTAAATTCTGGAAGTCCTTAAAAATAGGCACCCGTTAGTCCTGTGGACTCCCAAAGCATTCAACCAGCAGTCGCTGGTAGCCCCATTTACAGGATAACACAGTTGTCTCCTTCAGCGGCTGCATATACTGTTCCCTACCTTTCAATTACTTCTTCTGCTGGCCCCTCAAGTAGTAGTGAAAAGGAACATGCATATCCAGAAAGACCTGATCAGCCAGAATGCCAATATTTTCTGAGAACTGGAGTGTGTAAATTTGGGGCTACTTGTAAATATCATCATCCATCGGAGTGGAGTGTGCAGAAGACGACTTTTCTTCTTAGTCCAATGGGTCTCCCCTTACGTCCAGTAAGCATTCAGTTCCCTTTAGTGTTTACAGTTTTTTTTTTCTTTTTTTTTTTTTTTTTTTTTTTGTGTCACTTGTGCAAGTAGATGAAATATCATCTATTTTGAAGTTTGCAAGCAATATTTTCCATCCCATTCAAGTTGTGGAATTAGAAAATGTATAGCCTCGTGATATGTTGCATGCAACTACAAATTAGATTGATGCAAAATTAATGACCAATAGTTGCATTCTGCTGTTCCATTTTCATAATGATATGAACTTTTGCATTTTCATTTTTTCTCAGATAAATTTACCCATTGCCGCAACTTGCTCCCCACTGTTTACCTTTCTTATACTTTTTCTTTTATTTCCAGTTATTCTCTGAACTTCTTCAGTTCTATTAAGATTTGTGTGATTTAAACATTACCTTTGGGTTTCTTTACTTATTTCACTCATACTTTAGCAATGACTATTGCTTCCAATAAGACTGAGCCTGCATACGGATGCTCCCATGTTAAATTTAAATCCTAGTCATCTTGATTTGCTTTCGAAGTCATTCAAATAATAATTTTGGCAATCATCTTATGAGCTTCTGGTATGTCATGGAGGTTTGCACTCCGATTAGTTCATCTTTATCCCTAGACCAAATTGTTTCTCGTATTTGTTGCTCCCAATGTGATGGATTATGAATCCTTAAAAGATGATTGGTGTCTTTTTTGTATGTATTTTTTTTTCTTTGTCGACTTTGTTTCTTTACTCAAGATCTTGACTGGGCATATATACTTGTTTTTTCTGTTTGTTGTAGTCATCTTCCATTTACTTATTACACTAAAAAATTACGTGTCCAAAGATTGCATACTCCTATCCTTTTCCTCTTTTTTTAGGGCGCACCACTTTGCTCTCACTATGCGCAAAGCGGAATATGTAAATTCGGGCCCACATGTAGATTCGACCACCCGATGAGGACTCTGAGTTACAGTCCGTCTGCATCCTCTCTGACTGATATTCCAGTTGCCCCTTACCCCGTGGGGTCCACTTACGCTACCTTGGCTCCGTCATCTTCATCGTCCAATTTGAGGTTCTTCAACAAAGACGCCTTCACGTCATCTCAAATGTCTTCCATGAACAGCCCAAACGAGTTGGTTGGCCCAATATTCTCGAGCAGCGGCGGGCCCATCCCAAAACCGGGCCTTCAGGTATCTAAAGATTCATCGAGCGAGAGCAGTGGCGTGAGTGGTGAGGTTCAGCTGAAAATATGAATAATCGAGTAGTTGCTGCAAATCCGAATTCTATATATCTTCACTTCCATCTACATCCGTAAATATCACAGCCATCGGTCCTTGTTCGATTAAAAGACATATATATATATCCCCTCAAAAGATCTTGCAGAAACCTCGCTTGGCCTCATCAGCTTCTTTTTTAATAACAGGAAACCAGAAAACCGACTTTTTGTTTAGCGAAAAAAAATCGCAACACTGCTCAAAATTTTTGAAGCTTGTTTCTCGATTGTTGTTGTATTTGTGGCATCTTTTTTCCGGAACGGGAAAGATGCATCCCAACATGCTCAATGTGGAATGTAAGTTATGTAACGGTGTCCTTTTTATGGCAAAAGAGCAACCCGACTTGACTAGGGAATGAATGTGCAGTTCCTTTCACCCCCTTTTTTTGTTACGGGGCATTGTTTTTTGTGGAGGCAATGGTGAAAGATAAGAAGAAGAAAAAAAAAACACTATTAGAGCTGCAACGACAGTTTAATGCTGCCTTTTGAATTAAAGATGTGTAATCATTATGTTGTGAAATTTGACTTGCTTGAATGCTTTATGTCCTCACAGTTGTTCTGAAACGCAAAAAGGAATTTGTTTGACAAATAGCAGTCTATTTTGAACATGTTTTAAAACTCAACAATATTTATATTTGTCATCTGTTTTTTTTTATTTATTATTATAAATAATAATATTAAATTGATGTCCTTTGAAGATATTCAATAAGGTCAATGTAGTGATTTTATTGAATATACAAATAAAGACCAAGTACATATACCTTTATATATAAATTAAAATTATTTATCAATTACAAGTGAATTTTAAAATTGTTAACCATCGATAGTTTTTTTTGACACCGTGAGTATTTAGGTCGAGAAGAGGAATAATTATTGGTAGAAGAACAAGACGTCATATATACAGGAATATTTAAAAACCTAAGAGGAATACATTGAGAAATGGATTCAAAACGAGGAAAACGACTTGGGGAGCTCAACCTCATTGCACATTATAATCCTCCCAGTCGACCTCCCCAATAGTGTCATTATCCGATTCTCGAGAAGGGTTACCCTAGTCCCGAGCTACCTCGAAACCCGTTATTTGGATAGAAGAATTGGAGGATTTGAGGGCCTCACCAACCAAATGACTGGCCGAGTCGGGAGAGGAATCTATAGGTCATTCCTGATCAGATTATTTATCAACAATAAGGAGTACGACTAAGTCGAGGTCGCGATAAACAATTGAAGAAAACCTCACCAATTCAGAAGTACGACCAACATACGCTTAAGTCGACAGCGAGATACAATTATCAAATAAAAATTAGGATCCTCAAGATCATAAACAAATTTTGCTAGAACAAAACATGAAGATTATGAAGAACGCGAAGAACACAAAGAACATTAAAAAACATTCAACTTAAAACCCAGAAAAAATGAAGAAATAATAAAGAAAAATTATTGCTACTTGCGTGACAAGAAAAACTTACTCATTGTGAATTGTTGGACGGACCAGAGAGAGTTGATGGATGGAAAAAAAATCGTCGGAGTTGCAGTACGCCGAGGAGTCTCTGGAGTTCAGAAAAGATTAAAGGGGCAAAAGTGTTGAGGTGAAATCGGGGGTGATATTTGTAGTCTATCCAATGGATTTGGCCCTTGGATCAGGATATGATTGAAAGGTTCATATCAAGCACGGGAATCGAAGAGTTAGAATATGAAGCAACGCATGCGTCTTTTCGGACCTTCATTTGTGACAGTGTCAGAACTGTCAAGGGGCCAGAACCATAAATTTTACTCCTAAGCTCGAGGTTGCTTGGGGTGAATTTTTTTCTGGGGGGAGGGGGGAGGGGCGAGGGAGGACTAGATGATACAACTATACTTGCATAAACCGGAATAAGTAAAGGAAGTTCGACTTGAGTATAGACCGACTGGAAACAAAGACACTTAATGGACATAACGACCTCGGACTAGTACGACCCAGTGAACCATCATAGCTCGGGTCGACGTTGTATGACCTGAGAACCCCGATGATGACCTAACCCTCGAATGATATCCGAACTTGACCCTCATAATATGGCCTAAGTCGACCTCTCTCGTTCAATCTCGACCTGGCCTATCTTATCGCTCGATGTAGGTTATGGATTGAATTGTCTCAGAGTGCATAATGACCTAAGATTATGTAATTATAAAGGATAAAAGAGAATCTTAAATGGATAAGAAAGACTCTTAAAATAACTAGAATCTTACTAAGAAATGATTAAAACATGGATAAACATTAAATTAGAGCAGCCGGGTAAGCTGCCCATGGGCACCCAAACGGAGCATTTCAGCCAGGTATTTCCCTATAAAAGGGATTGAGGTATCCCTAAACCCTAACTTCACATTCTCTATATTTTATACACTACTCTTATTTATAGCCAAACACCATGACCTTCTTGATATTGACTTAGGCATCAGAGGTTGTTCGCTAGAAACTCCTCCAGTGTTGAGTTCTTGCAGGTACACGCACGGCAGTTCTGGTAGATAAGGCTCATCTACAATCAATTCTATCCATATCTGAAAAAGGGACCCATCAGTTACCTTGTAGAAAAGACACAATTCTTTTCTAGGGCATACATTAATTTTGCCCGTTCGTCGTATACATCAATTCTTGATTGTCTGTTCGTCTTGATGATGTCGTTCTCTTAAGTGGTAGAGTATTCATACAGATAATGTGGTGTAATATTTATCATCTCATACACAGAGAAAAGGGAGAAAATGAGAGGACATGAGAGAAAGAAAACGAGACACAATATAGAGAAACCATCAAAACATCAGTTTATTCTATTAATTCATGTGTACACTATGTATGAAATACATTATACATGACTAATAACCTAACGGACTATTGGCCCATACCTACAAAACTTATATCCAGGTACTGTCCACAAATAATAGCTATTTACAATACTTAGAAATCATATACTCGGGCCATGTTTGATTAGGAAGATTAGGTTAGACTATATTAATCTTAGTGGATGATTACACTGTCACGATTTGTTGAATCTTACATTTGGTGTCTATGATTGCGTGAAAGTGAATGTTCGAACAAAGTTGACTATTTTTTTTGTCGGAAGTGATATTTGATAGGATAAAAAACTAAATTACTGATTTACTCTTGTATTATATTAATTAAATTAAAAAATTGTGAAACATTTCAAAAATATCAGAACTGAAAACATCAAATACTAGAGTTTGTTCTGATATTTTTCCAAAATTTTAACCTAATCTGCCGCCGATTGAATGACCAAATATTACAGGCGGCCATTCAAGCAATTGATGAACACTACTACAGGCGGCCATTCATGCATCTGAAATTTCGGTCTGTGTTTTTAAGTAGGTGAGGCATCGTTACGGTTCTTAGCAGACGCAGTATTTCGTAAAAGTGTGCTAGGGTCTTTTCTTGCAGATACGTGAATAGCAATGATTCAAGAAAAGTTGGAAATATCTCTCTCTCCCCAATTTAAGTTGTTTTTTAATTACAAATTTCTTTCGTCTTTTTCTTTTTGGGTGAAAGAAAGACGCGATTGTTGTGCACATACTACATGCAGAATTGTAAAAGAAAAAGCAAAAAACATGTGTTTTGTTGTGTCCTATCAACAGTAGGAATAATGGTCACCCATGTGCTTGTGTTCAGAAAATATATCATCATATTCTCTGCTCTGAACTTTTCAATTTGTTGGGTTGCTGTCAATTTCTTGAAGATTCGATAACGAATTAGGATCTAATTTGGCAGATACATTGAGAAGACAAGTGGTTTACCAATGGTGTATTCAATCCCCGGTTCAGCTTTTTCAGGTATTGACAACTCATAATATAATGTGTATGTGTGTGTGTGTGTGTGTGTGTGTGTGTGTGTTT